TATTATTTTTCTGATCCATCCCTTATCATTTTTATAAACTTTTGATTATTTATATGAAAGTAGCTGCCAAACAAGGAAATAATCCAGACTGTTTTCAGATTTTTTTAAAGATTTTATTTATTTATTTGAGAGAGAGAGCACAATGGGGAGGGGCAGAGGAGAGGCAGAAGCAGACTCTCCACTGAGCAAGGAGCCCAAAATGGGGCTCCATCCCAGGGCCCTGAGATCATGACCTGAGCCAAAGGCAGACGCTTAACTACTGAGCCACCCAGGTGCCCCTGTTTTCAGATTAAAAAAGGAAATAAGAAACAATGACCTTGTGTAAGAATTACATAAAAGATCCCACATTTCTCAAAACAAACAATCAAAAAAAATTGACTTTCTCACTTTCATATATATTATCTTTCTTTTTTTGCTTTCATATGTATTATCTTAATTACTTATCACAGGAATCTGAAGATTTATTTTATCTCTACGTGAATGAGGCTTTTGATACTTAAAAGGTTAAGTAGTTTGTTCAAGGTAACAATTGTGAAATTGGACTGACAAGGTTAAATCCATGCCTTTAGACTCTACAGTTTACTCCTGAAGTCTTCTTCCATGCATAGTTTGGTCCCATTGTCGTAACTGTTTAACAGTTTGACATTTTGACATATCTTAAGATATTATCGTGTAACAACCCTCTCATTCTCCAACTCTAATTTTATCTTTTACTTAAGATTTTAGAGTAGGTGATTTAAGAACCTGAGATTTAAGAGTCCCAAAGATTGTATAACGGGCAGCATGATACAACTTTTAGGTTATAATTGAAATCCATTCTAGAAGGTGGGGATAATTTAAGAGAGATTCATTCATTTAGTCAACATATTAATTGTGCATCCATTCTATGGTAGACAATTTTGTAGGACCTGCAGATACATTGGTGATCAGAAGAGATAAAACAACTTATTCTCTTGGAATGTACCTTCTAGTGGGGGATACAGACAATCAGCAAGCAATATTAACAAAATATATAGTTTAGATTAAGTGCTGATGAGAAAAATAATGCAGGGAAAGTAATAGAGAAAAAAAATAGGGAAAATGTGTTCGCAATTTTAAATATGGTGACTCAGAAAAATGCTCTGTGAGAAGGTGACATTTGAATGAGGGACTGAAGGAGAGTAGCAAGTAAGCCATGCAGCTATCTTTTGAAAGGGCATTCCAGGCCAAAGGAACATCAAAGGCAAAGCCTCTGAGACTGGAATGTCTTCAGCATATTCAAAGAATGGAGCAGGCCAACTAGGTGGAATGAACTGAATGAAGGGGAGACTAGGAAATGATGTCACAGATATGCAGATGTTATAGTGCCTTGTAGACCCTTGAAAGACTTTGGTTTTTACTTTTTTTTTAAATTAACATATAATGTATTATTTGTTTCAGGGGTACAGGTCTGTGATCCATCAGTCTTATATAATACCCAGTGCTCATTACAACACATACCCTCCCCAGTGTCCATCACCCAGTTACCCCATCCCCCTTCCCCCCTCCCCTCCATCAACCCTCAGTTTGTTTCCTAAGATTAAGAGTCTCTTATGGTTTGTTTCTCTCTCTCTGGTTTCAACTTGTTTCATTTTTTCCTCTCTTCCCCTATGATCCTAAGTCAATCAGAGAAAGGCAATTATCATATGATCTCACTGATATGTGGAATTTATGAAACAAGGGGAAGAGTGGTTTTTACTTTTATTGAAATGGAAAACATTGGATGCCTTTCATCAATGAGTCATATTACCTGAATTATATATTTAAAAAGAATTTCTCTGCCCTGTTGAATATAGAGGGAAGGGGGACAAGGGTCAAAGTGGGAAGATCAGTTAGGAGGCTATTAAAAAATGGGTGGCTCCAGCCAATTTGGTGTAGTTGAGGTGATGAGCAACTGCCAGATTTAGGAGACAGGACCTACAAGATTTCCTCAGGGTTTCTTAATGAAAGAGAAGAATCAATATGACTCCTAAGTTTTTGGCAAGAATACCTCAAAGAATGAAGTTGTTGTTTATTGAAATGGAAAAACAGAGGGAAGAGAAGTTTTCCTGGGTGGTAGAGGGAGAAAAAGGATGTGATGAGGGGCTCAGTTTTGGACATATAATATTTGATACTTTTTAAACATCCAGTGGAGATTAAATGAATGCAGAGCTATACTGACATAGAGAATTCAGCTCTAAGGCATTTGGTCTAAGCAGAGGGGATTATTGCCATCATTTAAAAACAAATATTTCTTAAGCATCTTTGTGTGTCAAGCCCAGTACTAGGTGCTGGGATATAACATTAATAAGATATAAAAATAACAAGGTACATAATGGTATATAGTACATATTGTAGGTGATTAAGTAAGATTAAGTGCTCACAAACGTGGAACTTTGAAAATAAGAATACGTGTGATCTGTTATCACATTGTTACAACCATACCTAAGAGTTTCATTCAACTGGTCATCCTCTTGAAGGGTTTTTGTTGTTGTTGTTGTTGTTTTTCATGGCTTGGCCTCCTGGAATTTCTATTATGGCACACTGTTATAAAGAGGGCTATTCTCACAGCTCTTTTTAGCATTTAATATCCATTGTTCTATTCCTTTCATCTTATTTATAAAATTCAAGTGGTGAGTTGTGTTTGAAGGGTGCTGCTATCACAGTATAGTATACACAAGGTAGTTGGTGTTGATGTTTTCTGAGCTAGACAGTAATACCTGAAAGGCGAATTAATCAGTAGACATTTTTGTTCTGTCTTTGAGTGTAATGTACTTTTTGTACTGATGTTTTGACATCTGGTGTTCTTCTCTTAATAACTCTGCATGGGGTTTTTGAAGGACTTATGAAGGCACTGAGTAAAGTAAATGCATTTCTAATAATGCAACTACCCAGACAAAGGCAGGAATTTTTTGGTTTCTTCTTTTCTTTCTTTCCTTTTTTTTTTTTTTTTTGTTAGTGTTTTAGGTCTTTAGGGTACATTTGAGAATGTGTTATACCTGCCATTTTTCCCATTATAGAAGACTGCTGTGCTGAACATTGGTGCTTGATACTCAATCACAGCATCTTTCCTTTGAGTCAAAGAAGAGAGCAAATAGCCCTCTGTTCAGGGAACCAGGTAGCACTAACCACTTTCCACTCTCAAACAGTAAAAGTAATTTAAGCTATCTGAGACCCAACACTACTTTAGTAATGTCCCCTGGAGAACAAAGCAGTTATAGCAAAATTTCATGTAGTTTTCTTTCATGATTTGAGCTCCTTCTGAGAAATATATCTAGAGTTATGCAGGAATATTTCAGAACTGTTTCATTGACAGTGTTCTAGCAGAGTTCTTTATCAAATAACTGTGAAGACTTATCTGTTGCTTTGAGAAGAGCTATGATTTAGGTTACAGCATAGTGACTGGCTTGTAAGAATTTCCATATTCAGAATAATCTTTGTATGAGTTTTATATAAAGCAGAAAAGTATGAAGTTTGAATAAAAACAAACAACACTAGAAAACCTGGATATTTATGTATTTTTGAAGTGAGCTAACAGTGTGGAAGACAACTAAATGTAGTAATTTCCATCCTAAAATAAAAATCAGTGTGTATGATCTACACAGCTGAAAAAGATGTCAGTTAGAAACACATTGCTTTGTTTTCAACTAAAAAATTCCCCATGCTTATGTTACACTTTTACTACTTAAATATATATCCATAAAAATCAATGTCATTGTTTTGTGTTTTTTTTTTCATTTTGTATAAATGGCATTATACTGTATAGGTCCTTTGCCACTTACGCTTTTAAAAAATCTAATAGTAGGTTTTTGAGAAGTATCCATGTTTGTGACTATAAATTTAGAACACTGATTTTCAATTGCTCTTCAGAATATCATTTCTATAAATCAACCATTATTTATTTGTTCCCCTACTTATGGAAAGTAGGTCTTCAGGGCTTTTCAAGAAACCTACAAAGAAAAGAAGCATTGATAGTCATAGAGTTTCTCAACTCTGCTCCAGCATCTTGGTATACCGATATGTTGGGCCACTATAAATTCTAATGCTTCACAGAAGTGGTTTTGGGTGGAGGCAAACTACCATGGGGAAAGAATGGAGTTTGGAATCTTAGAACAAGGACAGAAATGAGATAGTACACAGAACAAGGTACGTGAAAGGAATGGAACTCACAGGACTATTTTAACAGAGCCCCCCAAAAATGCAGTTTTAGTACAGAAGCTTTTATGAGCTTTTTCTGTTTATTAGCCCTATGTGTTTTATGCTGCTATGGGGGATATAATACTGAATGCTTATTTTCCGTCTGTGTATAACAGGCTCTATTCATGCAAAACCCTTCAAGGATCAAACTTCCTGATCTCCTTAAGCCATTCAGTATGAATATAAAGCCAGTGAATATCCTCATTCTTTTAGATCTTCCACTAAACAAATGGTATGCATATGTGGCTGTTCATCAGAATTAACTGATTCCCATAAAAATGCATACTTTTATGAACTCAACCTTGGAAATTCTGATAAAGAACTTAAATGACAGAAGAATTGTATTTTTTTATTAAAAGTACCTTGGTGATTTAAAAAGCATTTTAGTTGAGACACCACTTCCCTAAGTGTATAACTTAATTTTTTAGAGTATTCCCTGGTGGGAGTTGTCAAAAAAAATAGCCTATAAAAGTGATATGAGTTGAAAAAATAAAGCTTTTTCCTAAAATCGTAGGTCAGAATTATGTTGATTTGCTTCAACTCTTTGTATCCTGAAAATACATATAACCAAAAAAAGTGCAAACACTATTGTCATCCCTGAATATCAAACTGATTTACACCTCAGGGAGAATATTAAATGCTTTACCTATGACCTAGAAAACCCAAATAATTAAGTTATCTTGTTTATGTGTGCATAGGATATGTAGTACATTATGAAAATCACGCTCCATGAATCCAGGTCCTCATAAGACTTCATAATTTGTTATGCATAATTGCAACTTACGGCTTTTCTGTTGTATTTCCAGCACAGTGATGCAGTCCATGACCTTCTTCTGGATGTGATCACGTGGGTTGGAATTTTGCTGTCACTTGTTTGTCTCCTGATTTGCATCTTCACATTTTGCTTTTTCCGCGGGCTCCAGAGTGACCGTAATACCATCCATAAGAACCTCTGCATCAGCCTTTTTGTAGCTGAACTGCTCTTCCTGATCGGGATCAACCGAACTGACCAACCAGTAAGCAACTTACACCAATAATAGGAAAAATATCTCCATTTCCAGCTTTCCAGTACTTGAAATATTCTTGTTTGAAAGTACCCTTTTAAGATTTAAGTACCCTTTTTAAGATTTTATTTATTTGAGAGAGAGAGAGAGCAGCAAGAGAGGGAACACAAGCAGGGGCAATGGGAGAGGGAGAAGCAGGCTTCCCGTGGAGCAGAGAGCGCGATGCAGGGCTCGATCCCAGGACCCTGAGATCATGACCTGAGCCAAAGGCAGACGCTTAACTGACTGAGCCACCCAGGCGCCCCATGTTTTGCTTTGTTTTTATCAGAACAGAATATTGAGGAAAGTTAAGTAAAATCATTTGGGGAATGGAAAGGTGTCTTTCCTAATATATATATAACTGTTATTTTTCAAAGCTTATCACAGGCTTTTTTTTTTAAGTCTATTTATTTTTTTAGTAATCTCTATACTCAGTGGGGCTCAAACCCATGACCCCAAGATCAAGAGTTGCATGCTTTTCCTACTTAGCCAGCCAGCTGCCCCTATCATATACTTAAAAAAAAAAAAACAAAAATAGTTTATATCATATTTAAAGTGTCTAAAGTGAGTTTTTCAAATTGACATATTTGGAAAATAGTTCAAACGATAGGTCATTTTTAGAATTTATAAACCCTTCCCAAATTTTGTTTGACACATTATATTTGCACAAGTTCTGTTTACATCTTTAATGTCAGCTTTGTACTTTACTACAAACTATGTTTAGTCATACCAGAAAATAAAGAAGAGGAGGAACGGAAGGAAGTAAGGGAAGAAAGGCGGGGAAAGAGGCAGCACTAACCAACTGCTTGGTAAAACCAAACAGAAAATATGAGTAACAGTATCTAATTACTCAACAGACTCTACGCCTACTTATACTTTTTGTGAGGCCCATTCTGTTGACTTAAGATTCATAGTCCATGTTTGGTCTCATGACTAAAACTATAATTGAAAAGAAAACTTCCATTTTTTAGAAGACATGTAGGCATAATAAATAATTCATTCACTTAATGCTGTCCTCTGGTATGTGTCCATAAGTATGGAGTACTTTACAATAAAAATGCAGTCGGATTCATGTTTGTGATTACACATTCATGATTAATGGCTGTAAAGGGTACAATTATGGTGATTATACTTTTAATTGGTTATCATATAGAAATGTGATGGCTTTTCCCATAAATGCGTACATATGAATAAGCAATCAAAGAGCACATTTCTTTTCCCAAAAAAGTAAAGCCTTCTGATAACAAAAATTAATAGTTGAAGTTCTAATTCTAAAAAGCAAGAAATGGAAAACTGTGTTATTTTCTAAGAAGAAATCATTTCATTCTCTCGTTAACCTGCAATTCAAAAGCTGTGTGATTTCTTTTCATTTAGAAACCATATTCTTACTTTTGTTTCCTGATAAACATATGGTATGATAAATTTCGTCACACATTGCATACTGCACAAAACTAACTTCTGACAAGTAGCATAGAGAACAAAGATTGATATGAAAAGTTGGAGTAGAATACATCTTAGCTCAACATGTCTTTCTTCTTGTTCCTGGGTAGGTGTCCTCTTCCTGACTCTTAGGTGGCGATTAGGCTCTGCTTTCTCTCTAGCCTGCTGACACTGGACATCCTCATCTCCCTTCATTGTCATCTCTCCTACTCAAGAAAACTGACCTGCCCTTTGCCTCTTTCTCAAGGATCACACTCATCATTGAATCCATTATAATCTGATAATGTCTATAAATTTGTTGCCCTTTTCTAGTAGGAGATAAAGATTTTGGTTAGGATTTCTTTTTTTTTAAGATTTACTTATTTAGTTGAGAGAGAGAGAGCATGCACGTGGTGGGGGGGGGGGAGAGGCAGAGGGAGAGGGAGAGATCCCAAGCAGACTCCATGCTGAGCATGGAGCCCCACCAGGCTTGATCCTACAATCCCTGAGACCACGACCTGAGCTGAAACCAAGAGTCAGAAGCCTAACTGACTGCTCCACCCGTGCTCCCCTAGGATTTCTTAAATAAAAAATAAAGACCCCCACTTCCCCCAAGGAGTGAGAATTTCAGAACTGACATAAAAAAAAATTAATATATGGTCAGATGAAACTTGTAGTGCCTTAGAGAATATGCCAAAATAAGCACAGGCTGTCTTTTTTGACGAAGCTTGTCTAGCCCAACATTTCTTACAACAACAGAAAAATGAGAGAAAGAAAGCACTCTGGAACATTTTATTTTGTTTTATTTTATTTTATTTTAACCAGACCTACCTTTATACTTTGCAGCATGAACTTCCCAATGCCATCTTAAATCCTTTCTGAAATCAGGCAGGGAAGAAGTAAACCAGCAAATAATAATAATGAAGTAATGATCCCATCACAAAATACTGTAATTATTACATTTTTTTTTAACTTTAAGAGCTTTTATTCTCCTTGGTTTTAATGTTTCTTTTTCATTTACAATTGAAGAACTTAATGATAGAACACACATGATTATGGCCAAGAAAAATAATGCATGAGATACTGTTTTTAAAACTTCAGGCTAATCTCAGTAATAAGAAAAAATTAATAAAAAAACTATTAATAATGTTTCCTTATTATCATCCTATGCTGTCATCTGTAAGCTATTATTAATAAAATGTTAAATGTGGTTTTGAAAGATAGGTTATATTTAATTAGGTTTTAATATCTGAATTGTAAGAATCTTGTCTAAAGTGTTCTTTTGTAGACCTCTTGTGTTACCGCAGTCTTGATAAATGTTTATTTTGATGTTATGGTGGTTGAGGATATTTCGTTCGGTTGTTACTGGAGTCCTCTGTTCCCTTCCCTAGATTGCCTGTGCCGTTTTCGCTGCCCTCTTACATTTCTTCTTCCTGGCTGCCTTCACCTGGATGTTCCTGGAGGGAGTGCAGCTCTACATCATGCTGGTGGAGGTGTTCGAGAGTGAGCATTCCCGGAGGAAATACTTCTACCTAGTGGGCTACGGGATGCCCGCACTCATCGTGGCTGTGTCAGCCGCGGTAGACTATAGGAGTTACGGAACAGATAAAGTGTGAGTTTATCATTCCTTTCCTCTTTTTCCCCTCTCTTTTGAAATCTAGTTGAAATAAATGCTTTGGATTTTCTTGGAAGCTAAGGTCTTTATACTACCACCCAGCAAGAAATGATTGAACTGGAGAAGCAACTGGGGATAATTCAATTCATGGTTATACTTTTGTTATGATATAGAAAGAGAAGAAAAATCCTGAGATTCAGTAGGATGCTGTTTAAAACAGCTTAATTTTCCTACAGCTACATCAGAGGCCTTGAGTAATTATAAGAAGATGAGCACTTTAATATCTTTCAGGGCATTGAGACATTTGTCAAATGAAGAACTAGCTATGTCAGAAAGTGTGTATTCAGAGGACAGCACAGTCCCTAATATTAATGGCTTCTCTTCTTCCTTACCTGTCAGTTCTAGTCACTGGAAAGAAATTTATACCATTAACAGAAAGAAAAACAATATGAGCAGGGGCAGCTTGTTATCCCCCCCTTTTTTTTCCTAGGTGAGTATTGGGTTGTAGTGATGAATGTTATTTTCAGTATACACTTAGATTGGTGAGACATACATGAAGAGATGTCCAGCATAGTGGAAACGAATTCAGTGAAAAATATTTTTGTAATCCACATCAATATAACAGTTGGCATCCTGAGAATGAATGAAAGTTTCAATAGAAAAAGATTAGAAAGAAGACCAAGATGGAGTTCCGATGAATGCCCACATTTAGGACATAGTTTGAGGTGGGGAAATAAAAATAAGGACAGACAAGAACCTTAAAAGAGAATGAGAGCCTTAAAAGAGAATGAGAAGGCCATTTCAAGGTGGCGTTTCAGAACACTATCTGCGGTGTTCTATATCAAAGATAATTCAAGTAGGATAAGCACTGAGAAAAAATTATTTGTCCTTTGCAAGAATTATTTTGACAGTGCTGGAAGCAGAAGCCAAATTGGAAGGTTCGAAGAATTAAGTCAATAGCAAGAAAGTAGAGTCTTAAAGTATTACCTATACCCTGAAAAAGTTTGATTGAGAAATAGTGAAAAGATTAACTTGTGGTTACAGTAATGAAGAAGAATTTTTAAAAATGAAGTCCAAAAAATGTCTAGGGGTGGGAAGAATCAGTTTGATAGGAGGAGATTAATAGAGGGAAAATATCTTATGCCTCATTTGTATGCAATATATAGAGAGGCTGAATGAAAGTGAAAAGTCCTAGAGGGATAGAAAGGCTTAAGATTACACATAAGATTAAGGAAACCTTGATTTAATACAGGAAGTGGCTTTGCAATTCACCTAGCCCAAGACATCAATTTTACAGATGAAAAAATCAAGGACCAGATAAATTAATTGCCTTGCCCATGGTTATAGAGCTAGATAGTGGCAGATGTGTGATAAAATAAATCAGATTTATTTCCACTAAACTAGGAATGGTTTTGGAAAAGTAAAATGACCCCTCTCTTCTGAGATGAGTGTGAAGGAAAGAAGAGGTAAGATGAATTTCGAAGTGGAACCACTTTTCCATCAAGTAGAAGAAGCTGACTTTTGCTGTGTGAATAGGTGAGGTCACGTTGAGAGGACAGGAGATTTGAAAAGTCTTGAAATGAGCACTATGGAAAATGTGTTAAGGAGCCAGTTAGACATTAATAAAAAGATTTCCAAGCAGTAGTGAAAGCTCAGATGAGGTTAGATAACATCAATTTGTACAAAAGTTAATAAGCCAAATTTCATGACTTTCCACCAGCAATCAGCAGCCTGAATATGCTGGCAATAAAGCAGCTCACTTCCCAGAAGAGAGGATTCATAAGGAGGGAAGACAAGCAGAAGCATTATTGGGAGCAGAAAGTAGAATATGTGTTGGTTCAGAGGCACCAACAACATGGTTGAAAGAAGACCATCTCACTTGTGTTGAATTTTTCTTTAGTACAGGGAAGGCTATAAAAGGCCATTTGTCTAAACATAACTAATAGTAATTATTTTTTAATCCAACCTTTATGAATTGTGGTCAAATCTGAGTTCATCTTGTGGATCCCACTGACAACTTTGGAACAAATGAGGATTAGATAAAAACATTAAAATGCTTGCATCTAAGGACCTCTGAGGTGAGGGGAAATTAGGTAGATCAGACTTCTTTTTCAAAATAATACCTTTACTGATATAATTCACATACCATAACATTCACTCTTTTAGAGTGTATACTTCAGTAGTTTTTAGTACATTCACAGTGTTATGCACCCATCACCACTACCTCATTTTAAAACCTTTTCATCACCTTAAAAAGAAACCCACTAGCAGTCATTCCCCTTAGGTCATAGGATTTTACATTTTAATTAATGCATATCCCCTCTAAGATATCAAATTGAGTGATATAGTGATTTGTGACCTTCTACTATTCAAATATTGTTCTTAAGAAATTCCGTTTTGCTCTTGTGTTGTTGTTTTTATCTTTTTAGATATTTGCAAATTTTCCTGTTCCTAAACTGACTCAAACTCACTTGCTTTGCATTTTAATCATTTATTTTGAGAGCGATGTCATTTTCTGGATAGTAGGGATCTATCTTTTCTTAGAATCAATAATAAGAAGTCTCTTGTGACTGTTCAAGCTTTGGCCATCATTGCTTTAATTTCCTGCACCAAAACTGAAGCTCTCATTTACTGACATTATTACTGTGTGGGAATAGAGGCTAATTTACTTCCCAGGCACCGTTTTAAAATAAGCCTTCGTAATAGTTCAGTTCCACAATTATGATATTTCCCAACACAAAGAGCAGCAAAGCCGATATAGAGAAACGGGAGGGTAGATGAAAGAGGGAGAGAAAAGAATAAGGAAAATTGCTTTAAAATTCTATCACAGGCACAGAGTGTTTGGTGTCTGATTTGTACATTTTAAATAAATCGTCCGCAGAGAAACCTTCCAGAATACATGGGAAAAATGTTTAACTTCTACCGATTGGGAACGCGTCCAATCCAGGGTCTATTTTGCCCATTGAAGAAGCAGGTGTGGAACAAGAAACATTATTCAGGCATTTGTATTTGCTTGAGAAGCTGAAATTAACAGATCATGTTTTCCATCAGGAGTTTAATCAAGATATCTTCTCAAAGAAAAATATAAACAATGAATTTTTACACAACTCGAAGGATTTCTGCATATAGAATTATATATCTTGTTCCTTATTATCAAATCTGTCTTTGTTGTTCTGGTTTCTGTTACTATTGTTGATTGCTTTTATTTGACTTCTGATGGCATTCCTGACTGCCTGTTCATCTCATGACTTTTTCTCATGTAAATCTATCTCAAATTGTGCTGTTGTTCTTTTGTTTGTTTGTTTGCCAGTGTTACCTTCTTATATGCCACACTGATTTTTTAATACAAATATATAATGTCCACAGTCTTAAATAAACTAGAATTAGCCAGAATTCAGACACATATTTTCAGCCCTTTTCTGTAAATTCTTATTAAGCTCAATACAATGAATTTTTATGTCTTAGAAATCTATTTCACTTATTTTTGGAACTTTGTTATTAAATTTTTACTTCAGTTTCAACCACTCAGAGTACATCTAGAATAAACCATTGAATATATATTATAGTAATCCAAATAATAATAAACATTCTTCCCTTTTCTTTCCTCTTAATGTATCTAATTATATTTTATTATACTGACAATGAGGTTTTATCACTGAAACCTTTAACAATAGTAATAATAATAGCTTACAATTCTAAAAAGCAGAGATTCATATCAATGGTAGGAGATAAAATTAGAAATAAAATTAGTTTTGTATGTTATTTTGATGCAGAGAGTGGGAACTATCATATTCCATCTGACTGATGGATTATGATGTGTTTTTCTATGAAATTTTAGGGTTGTTGAACTGATTAATATGTACAAAACACATACACACAAAGCACACATAATTTGATTTTGAGAAGTTGCTTAGTTTGCCGTCAGTTTGCAATGCTTGTGAGAGAATTTTATTATTTTTTGATGTTGTTTAATCAAATCTTTTTATCTGTACTGACATTATCTCGAGAATGTATTTAGAATTACATTTAGTCACAATAATTGGACATTTAAAAAATTAGATTAGAAGACCAGTACAATCATATAAATAATAATAAAAAAAAAAACTCACAGCTAGTGGACCACAGTTCTAAATTGCACTAACAATGGGCATTTATTCAATTTTATCTGTTTTTTTAATCTTCCCTTAGTCTCTCTTAAACTCTTATTCATATGCACATTCAATGAAGCCATCCAGTAAATGATACTGTCAGAAGATAAAAGCTGGCTTTGACTTAGCAATATTTTAAACATGGCTGATTTAGAAATTCTGTGCTAGATACTTTAATTTTATGACCTGAAACTAATTAGTTCATGTAAACTTTAATTACCTCAATATTATCAAAAAAATGCAAACCGTTTTAACAGTTAATTTTTATTTAAAGAGAACATCACATTTATAGTTTATACCACTTTCCTCACAATCCAAGTATACAATGGAAAAAAGAGTGGTTAATGTGATGGGTAGATTGGAAAAGGAGTGGGAGCAGTTTCCAGGAGGAGGGAGGGCTCTGGAAAGGAGTGAAGCTTGAGGAATAGCCCAAGACTTAAAATATGGGCTTAAAAATTTGTAAGGGGTTTCCAAAAGATGTCAATTAGGTCATAAACAGTTATAATGAATCAGAACATCCTTGAGTACTAGAAGCATAACCAAGGTCTTAAAAATATTTGAAATCAAATTTTATGATCTGAACATTATTATAAGTCATCTATTAAGTCATATTTTTGTCTCCCTAGCTCACTAGTTTAAGAACAACTCTAAAAAAGGTAAGATCTCCTCTGCTAGTTAAAAGCTGCCCCCCACTTCCCCCACCCCAGTTTCTTATTTTCACGTCATTATTCAACCAATATAATCATTTGGGTAGAAAAGTGATTATTGATTCTTTAAAATACCAGATTATGGTATTATTCAAGAAAGAGCCAAGCCAAAGAACATTGAACCTGTTGGGGGTACCTGGCT